ATCCCGGTAATTGTTGACAATCGGATCCGTGAAAGGCGGCGAGTGTCTCGGGCTGTCTTTTGAGGCCTCGGGTCGATCGGGTGGGCTCGGGGTGGGCTCAGGTGGTTCTTTTGGCAGCGCATTTGCGGGGTTCATTAGCATGGGAGGCGGGAGGGCTGCCAAGTATACAGTTCTCTCTGGGGTGGGGAGAGGATGAAAGAAAAGGAACAGGAGCCCTGTTGCTACCTGTTGAGAATGGCGATACTGTTGTGGCTGGGCACGATCCAGGGAATCTGTCTCGAGGGAATCGAAGGAAACGGAATACTCCATCCTTTATGGCATCATATCGGCCCGTGCGATATTTCCGAGAGCATGAATGACCCAGGAAGGAAGGGGCAGGGTTTGATGATGGCAGAGCCAGGCTCTACGTGGATAGAAAGTGCGATTGGAACCATTTTTCACGACTTGATATTCATGAGGCGCCAAGGTCCCTTGAATAGCACGGGCATGAATGGAGACTTCCAGCTCAAAATGATGATGGAGAATCATAGAATAACGGGATATCTCGCCTTCCCTATAACCGTTAAAAGAGTGGAATCCCTGTCGTACCTTGGGGCGGGGAGTGGGGCTGTGGAGCATGAAAATGGTCGTGGAGGGAGGACATTCACGAGGGAGGACATTCTCATAATGATCTCATCAGGGACTTGATTACGCTGTTGCGTGTTGCTTGGACTCCTTTGCTCGGTGGAGGTTCGTTGGGTGGGGGGAGGAGTCTCATCATGCTCGCGAGGGGGTAATGGTCCTCGTTTCTTTCGTTAGTCAAGGTAGGGTTCAGCAGAGGGGGGGGGTTCACCCGGGGGTTCACCCGACCGTGAAATATCCAGCTTTGGGATGCATATTCCTGCAGATGAAGAGATCATCTCTGACGCAGATCAGTATTCGGGGGATAACGGTATGGAGGTGCTTTCTCCGAGGGATCGGTGGGGGATGAATATTTAATACGCGAGGGACGAGTATGTGGGGCATGAATATGTGGGCGCATTAAAGTAGCATACCTGACGATTGACTTCCAAGACAGAGACGTATTCAATTCAACGACTTCATTCTAGATGCCACTACCGCCCAACGCATGAATTTGTAATCCTCATAAACCATTGAATGAATATGCATTACTTCTTTTGAAGCAGGAGATAACAAACTTCGCCCCTCCTCGGAGTAACAATAAAGCTGCGGATCTAATGAATCTGGAATGAGTGGCTGCTTCGCCAGGCAAACAGAAGCACATGGTCTCGGTTATTTTTATTCAGCTGCTTCTCGGTACGCCAAGCGATTGTCGTCGACTTCAGTTGTTGCATTGCCTCGAGTCGAGGGGCGGATCGGCTCGGAACGATTTCGCTGTGTCCTTGTGCGGGCTCTCGATTTTATTTCCTCGGCTTCCCCTTCCTAAAGTCTTCGGGAGGATCGTTTCAATTTCTGTTAGGATTGATCGAATCAGAGAATGCCCTTAGCTGGTCTTTGTGGGATCACGCCACTTAGAGGATACAGGAGAGAATGCGATGGGATTCCAGAGTCGATAGGGGAATACGACCCCGGCACTCCACGGGACTTACATCACGCGCGGCCTTTGCCTTTCCCCGGTATTAAGGCCCTTGTGTACCGCCGGGATGAAGGGGAGGCTAAATAGTCTCACGTGACATCTCGTGCGGGCCCTACTAAAAGCGGTGATTGATGACTCAGGTGCTGCTGCACGGATCGGGTCGTGATTGTTCCATCATCGTAGATTCCGGCTTCCTCGACTAATGGATCCGTGAATGAGAGTGGAGTGGCGTCTGAGTGGATCGTTTCGCCTTGACCGTGTGTTTCGAGGCGGATGTCTCACCACCTCTGCTCTCATTATCATCGCTAGCTGGTTTTTTTTTCTTCTGTGACCTCGAAGGGTGTGAAGCCTGGTGCTCTTTGTTGTTCCTCTCTGGCATCGATGCAATTAGGTCTGTGAATGTGTTTCCGCTCTGGGGACTCTATATTAGTCCATATGGGTGACTCATCCGTGGCCTTATAAGCCCTCATTCGTGCAATATTGCCCATCGGGAGAGATGGACACTACATCGAAGAAAGACCTTCATTTCCCAGGCGCTTATCCGGATCAGCTAGCCAATAGTCTTTCTTTGTCGCTCGATATCATATATAATATTGGCTTGGGACTGGTTCTGGCGCTTTCCAATATCGCACGATTGTCTGTCCCCGAGTCCCTGATGAGGGTCTCTAAGATGACCTTAGCTCCGACGATATCTCCGAGCCCTTCCCTCGAGAGTAATAATGAAATCTTGCAGCGGTGGTATTTTATCGCGCCATCGCAGGCGAAGGGCATGTCGCGCATGGCCGGGGTCCCCTCCGCTCTTATATGCGGGGCCCCTCCTGCCACATGGTAGCAGGCTATCGATGCCTATTCGCGTGCCTCCCCGTTGCTAGGTTATAGGGGCTAGTGTTGTGAATATTTTAACCGGGTTTCGTGCGGTGCGGTGCTATGTCCTCCCCGTTCCGCCCCGGAATCAGTCGCAAGAAGACTGAGACCGAGACGATTACCGAACTGTGCGTACCCTGCGAGAGACTGACGTCCCCGTGCCGACCCGTGTGAGACTGACGTCCTCATGCCGACCCGTGCCAGACCGACGTCCTCATGCTGACCTGTGTCTACGCCGCTAAGGTCCCCGGACGGGCCGTCCGGATCGAACTGGTCCCTAGGCCCAAAAAGGAATCCGATGGACCGAACCTCTTGGAATTCTTTGCCAATAGTCGGAAGATCATCCCGACCTCGTCCGACGAAGAAGACGAAAACGAGGAAGACGAGCTACTCAGCACGACGGCGTCCCAGAGCACTTGCAATAGCCGAAGTGCGGGGAGCAGCCCCAGTGCCCAGAGCAGCAAAACGACCAGCCTCAGCGCCAGCGAAGTGGAAGACGAGCACGTTTTCCAGCCTATCTGGGTAAGGCCGGTGCTTTCATTCTGCGGGGAAACAGAGAGCCTGTGATTCCCCGGGGGCGAAACACGGAGGCTGTAGTTACTCGGAGTGGAAACATTGAGCCTGAAAGGGAGGTAGGACCGCGAAGCCCTCGGGTCCGGCGGGACGGGCCGTCAGGCGGGCATGACACACATGACAGGAACTGGAATTGAGACGTCTCTTCTCGTGACTCAATTTCAGTGCCTGCATCCCTTCGGTATTCCCGTTCGGTCGTGCGATCCATCCTTTGTGCACCGCATCTGTGGCCCGGGCCGGAGCGGAATATTCAATCACGGAATGGAGTATGTAATCCGTTGCTCTTCGTGCGTTTTTCACTCTCAGCTTGGGTATCGATTTTCTCCTTAGGATCTGGGTTCATCTCGTGTAAAAGCAGTGATTCGAGCAAAATAGATTTTCACGAAGAGGGTAAAAGAATCGGGAATAGTGGGTTGGTATCACTCATCCTGTCACATGACGAAAGCCCGGTCTCCGCAATGGTTTTTCCTGCCTGCTTTAGATTTCCCTCTTTTTTTCGTCCATTCTCTCGTTTTCCCGGGTTTCTCTTTCGTGTGCTTGTTGCTCGGTCCACACCGCGTTTCATCTAAGTGGCGGCCGGATATTGCTTCTTGGTATCGCTGGGTCCCCGTTCCCGAGCGAGCGATCCACTTTCCGTATCTCGCGTCGGAGATGCTTCCGTGCTCGGTAATGAAATGAGAGATGACGCCGCGATACCACTAATGATTCCCGTTTCCAGCGTATTTGCAATTCCGCCGCCCTCATTCTCGAGAGAGAATGGACTCGAATCTCGAAGGAGAATTAAGCCGTGTCGCGACATCAGGTTGCGACAGGGCGAGGCAGGACATGAGAGGGTTTTTCAAACCGCTGGGAATTGAGTGTGCCCCTCACATGCTCAGAATGGGAATCAGGAGGTCCCCTTGGGCTGGAATCGATTACTCCAGAGCCTCCTCTTCCTCCTCATCCTTTCGGTGAAAGGATGCATGAGAGAGCGGAACCTGCCTCCATGCCACCGTGCCTCCTCCGTGCGGGTTCGATTGGCCCCGATAGATTATAGGAGGGAATGTATTGGTGGCGGTGGGCGTTGTTTCTCCAACACTCCATTTTCTCGATCGTAATTGAATTTTCATCGTATCTTGTTATTTTCACCCTGTCGACGCAAAGCAGATTTTATTGCGGCAGCCCATTTTCCAGGGTAATGGATTTCTCTTGTTGTGACTCCGCCCTCTTATTCAACTTCTCCAATTTATTTCTGATCTACAATCTGGTCGACCGCCTGAAAAGTTTCCGCATGCCGTTTTTGCGCTTTTTTTTCGTAAGGTGTGCTTCATTTTTTCTTCGGGATTTAAAGTTTATTTCCCTCTCCTTCCAGTTACCCCCTGGAGTGGAATTGACCGGTTGGGAGCTGGAGGCGATGGCAGCCCGGCAGCAGCAGCAGATAGCAGCGCAGGCGCAGCTCCTCGTCGCCAAGGAGACGCGTCTCAAGTACCTGCGGGCGCAGGAGGCCCGCGCGACGAAGATGGCAGCGGACGCCGAGCGCCTGCGGATGCTCCGCCAGCGGGTGGACGCGCAGGAGGCGAAGCTGAGGAAGCTGAGGGCCCTGCGCGGCCAGGCGGACCAGCAGAAGATCACCAACAATGCCCTCAGTGAGTCCTCGTTTCCTTCACTTCGATCGAAGCGATGGGAAGACCGTATCCGAATGCCAAGGTCAGGGTCAGGCTGCCCTTGGATTTAAAATATTTAAGCCCTTATCGATCTCGCGCAAAAAGTGACGCGAGGAACTTTTTTCTCACTGTTTTTCGAAAAAAGACGGAGAACCATTTTTTCCCTCAACGTTCGCTGCCGCTCTTTCGTGGAGAGTCCATTTTAAACTGGCGACCCGTGTATTTTTCCGGAAATTTCAAAATCGCATACCATATAATTCAGTCGGAGCGTGTCATTCAAGTGACTCCTGTACTTCCTCGATGCGTCGGGGGGGATCTTCCCAGCCAGCTCATAACTGTACGAAAATGAAACGGTTTGACTCTTGGCGGGGAAGTGAAGCGTTTCTAAGGTCGGATCTTGACTCTGGGAGGCTTCGCAATTTGTTCGTTTCGTTCGACCCGAAACAAGGATTTAATGCGCCGCATGCTGGGAGGATCTGGCGAATTTTTTCCCCGCATGTCGACAGGAATTCCATGCGACGGGAACAATGCAAAGCTTATTAGGAAGTAATCCACCATCGGCTGAAAAGAGCAATCACGTCATTCGATGAGAAGAGACGGAAGATGATCCTCAGTCGCTCTCATTACATTTAATCATGTAGGGATTCCTTATCCAGGCCGTGATTGAATTCCGAAACTTCTCGTTAGATAATTTATTTCGCAGCCAAAAGAGGGAATCAGATCTCTTCCCTCGAGAGCGTAAGTGAGTGTAATTAGTCGAGGAAATGCAGGAGGGTTGATTGATGCGAGAAATTCTCTGCCTTTGGGGCGGGTGAGAATCGTTTCGATGCTCTTCTTGGTTTCCGGGGATTTTCTGATGAATATTCAGACCAGGTTTCGCGGGGGGATTGAATACGTCACGCTTTGAAGTCGGCCGCGAGTGATTCGGATGTGCGGATTAGTGGGATTGTATGAATATTCTCCCGAGAGTAAAATAAAAAATAAATGAGGGTAAAAATTCAGACGTGCATTATGCTCGTCGCCTTGAGCGTCGCTTCTGAGGACCTGTCGCGGATTGACAGACACCTCGTTACATTCCGTTGAAGCATTTCATTTCAATGCTTCTGACATATCTAATGGAGAAGTTTTTTTTCTTGTCTCTGTGGTTATTTTTTTAATAGTGGGCCCATCGAGGTCCACCAAGGCCCAGCGAGGCCTGCTTTCGTTGAATGGGGAGACGAGGTTCTTATCGTCCCCTAGCCTCTAATGACAGAGGCGATCATCAAAGATCGCTTATCGAGGGCTGCAAGCCTTTCTTTTCTCGATGAGCTTCTTCCACGTCTTCTCCGGAAGAAAAAAGGGACCTGTCGTCGGTCTCTTCACGTGCTGTTTTTTTTTTTTTTTTCCACCGGATGAAGTGACTTCGCTGCCGATGGGGATCGATGGTCTACGATGGTGTGAAATATGGTGTATGAAATTCGTCGATGTGGGGATCTGTCCGGCATGGTATAGGGGAAAGGCCCAGCTACGCTCTAGTGGTCCGCCTCTTTTTACGGAGGCTGTGGAAGGCCTTGGACGGCTGATGCAATGAACGCCTGGGACGTAATTTAATTACGTTTTGGAAGGAGAAGGAAGATGGCGAAGGTGTTTTTTTTTTGCGGTGCTTTTCGCTTCCCTGGTCCTCAGCAACTTGGAATCCAATTACTTCAGGCAGAGATTTGTGTTTGACATCAATTGATATTCTCGAGTCCCTCGAGTCCAGATATCTGATGGAGTTTCTCAGAGGCTCGCTGGCTCTCGAACGAATCGTTTGTCTCCTCGAGTATACCATGTCGTTGTCGTTCCTCTCGACGAGCGATATGTGATGAAGTACCGTCGATGTCGTCTGGCTCCCCGAAGAGGCAGAGGAACCGTGGGAGGTCAGGAATGGGTTGGGCTCGTCCGCGAGGCGCACGAGGTGGCGTCATTGATGAATGTGGGATGGGGGATGTGATGCGTGTGAGGGGGTGGATTTCCCTTGCACCTATGGCTTCCATCTTCCTCCCAGGTGGTCTCTCCTTCAACGCTTCGTCTATACATATACCTGTGTTGTGCGGGTAATATACGAAACTTCCTCATCGATCATCCTGCTCTCTCTTCGCGTTCTGTATAATCTTCCCGGTATGGTTTCCCTCCTGCTCGGGTTGTTCCTCCAGCCCGCCTGACCACACCCTCGGAAGAAATGCCTGGTTCCCACTGCCTTGAGTCATGCCAGAAACTTGTTTTGAGGTTTCGTGTTTCCCACGTCACGCATCAGGAAAGCTTAGTTATGCTTATAAATGAGCGTGGTCTTTGACCATGTTGGCCTCGAAACATTGGCTATTTAAGGAAAGAGACATTAGAAATGGACACGTGTGAAAAAGATGGATGTGGTTTATCCCTCCAGGCTATTATGACCTTGTCGTAGTGGTAATTCGAGTCACCACCGATTCCAATCAGTTACTATGGTGTATGTTGGCACTCCTTCCAGGCCTGGAATTCTGGCATCCCATTCATAACATTTTCACCCTTCACTTTTAAACAATTGGAATAGATGATTCCCAATCTGGCCTTTCATCCCTCATCGAAACGGAAAATGTTTCCGTCTCTGGGAGACTCTTTTCTTCAGAGATTCTTCAATCATGGGATTCACGAAAGAATCGCTTTAAAATGAGAGAGATTTTGCCCGGTTTATTCTTTTGCCAGCTGAATGAAGGATATGTCTTTCTTCGTTTCAGCGTCGGATTTGGAGAGCATCCGAGCCCTCTTCAACGAGAAGGAGAAGGAACTGAGCGTCGCCGTGGCCCGAGTGGAGGAACTGACCTCTCAGCTGGAGGAACTTCGACTTAGACGACATGCTCAGAATCAAAACCAGAATAAGAACTCCGCCTCCAGGCACCTGGACGCCCTCCGAAGAGAATTGTTGGTGAGTCCGCGAAGTCTATGAAGTCTCCCACCGTCGTTTCGCCATTCAGCTGCGTCGTTCCAGTAATAGGGATCCACTCTTCCGGAACGAAGTAGTTTGCCATTCATTGAATTAGGCCGGGAGTGAAGGCATATATATTGATGGGGGTCCTCTGTGTGGGTGCCAGGGAGACAAATTTGCTTGTTCAGCAAGACAAAGCCCTGGCACCTTCCCAAGCGTAGAGGATGGATCTTTTTATTGTGAAAGAGCGAAGAGCGCTCTCAAGTCGACTGGAACGGATGTCAATGTTTTTGCCACGTCCGAATCCCTGTCGTTTCTGGCTTCCGTGATCACATTTCTTCCATCCCAGTGTCTACTTTTTTTGTTTTGGTACGGGGGCTGATGGGGGACAGATGAAGCAATGACTGTGACACCCTTGCTTGTTTCTGTTGAGCCGTGAATCATCCATGCCATATCTTGGATGTTAGCACGATCCTTCTATGGCAAGGAAGAGCGATGAAAGAGCCGTCAATATGACCTTGATGATTCTTTTCACGGTGCTTTTTTTCGTGCAAAAGGTCTTTTCAGTCTCCAGTTATCGATTATCCTTACCCTTCTTGTAATTGTATTGGTAGGTGGGTGTCAGCCCACAGAAGTTCGTCCTCACGAGTTTCTCAGCTCAGCTAAATGCGAAGAATGGATTCGAGTAGGAGACCGAGTTGCTTTTAAAGAATTAGTTTATACAGATCTGAACGTCTTTCACCGGCTGATTTGCATCAGGTATCAGAGTGAAGGAGACTCCAAGAGCCCATATTGATTTCCGATCTTCCAAAAAGCAACGCCATCGATGCGATGTAAGAGTATATTCCAAAACATATTCGAAACTAGGAGTTGGGTGATGGAACTTAGCACAGTGTTAGGTCTGTTATTATAACCAGGCAAACAAGAGTTTCGTTTAAAAGAAATGTTCTTTTTTTTTGTCCTAAATTCCCGGGAGTGGAAATTTGAGCTACGAATTGCATTGACGTAACTCCTAGATCGATTATGAGAAAGTATGAGTTTCGTCTGAAATTATTCTGTGGAAAATCCTCTGTAATGTGAGAATGGAAGGCTGAGCACGCAAAGGAGCGCGAAATGGCATGAGTCGGTGGATGGTTGGTCGCCTGCTTCGGTAGCTATTACACGTCTCTGGAGGGGTGTAATCGCCTATCCGCGGAAGGCCGAGCGCGGGAAGGTCTGGGTGCCTCGCCGACCGCAGCGGCCGAGACGAGGAGAGATTTAGTTCCCGATGGGCAGTCTCGAAGGGGAAAGGAAAGTTGAGAATCGACCATAATGGTTCGGGCCTGGTGGTCCACACGCCGAAAAAAACCTCAAGTAATGAGTGGTTGTGAAACGGCGAAAGGGATTACATTTCGTGTAGGGGCGCTGCTGGACCTTGAAAGATGAAAAAAAATCAGTGGAAATATTTTCGCATTTCCACTCTGTGGTTCCGCCCAATCTGGGCGAATTTTCCCCCAGATTTGTTTTCTTCTGATCTCAGCCGATAGGGAAGGAAGAAAGGACGAGGAGGGTGAGAAAAGGACGTCAGGTGCGGGTACATTAAATCGTCCCCGACCCGATCTGGTGCTTCAATGGACGCTGTCGATGGAAAGAATGGAGGTGGGAGAGGAAATTGGATGGGGCTCTCGGGACAAAAGAATAATAAGGCCCAGACACAGATCTTTAGACAATGGACCACGCCATCCATGCTTGGAATTTCATGAAGCTCCCCCGACTGCTTTTCCTTTCCTCCGTGAGATGCTGGGATCTCCCGGCGTGGCTTCTGGAGTGGCCTGATTTATATGGGACATTTCACCGCCGGTGCTTTCTCGTCGATTGGATCTCGGCCGGGGCAGGACACGGCCGCAGGTGCACCCTTCCCACGATGCCAATACCTGACCTATAACGTCTGGGAATCTGTATTATGGCTCGTCGGACGAGCTGGACCTTGGCAATTATAGTTGCAAGATGGAATTTATGGTTTTTCAGATTTCTTCTTGGCACTGAATATTTTTATTTATTTATTGAGGGGGGATTGGCTCATGCATCATTTCACTATCAGGCCAGAGTTTGATATAGCTTCATGGTTACTGTGGGGATGAGAGGGGTATATTGGGTAATGTTATGAATGAGGTCGAGAGAGGGAAGTTTCTTCCCATCGGATCTCCGGTCATCTATGTCTCATCCATCAAGGGAAGATGTTATCCTTTCCTCTGCCATTCTTCCGCCCCATGGGAGGTGGAGGGAATCATTGCCCTCGGGAAATCCCCCCCCCCGTATTTTTTTTTTTTATAGTTTATTTCGTCTTCCCTTCACGTATGAATCGGGATCAAGGAGTTCTGCGTTAGGGTGGTGTATTGGCTCTTGTATTGAATTTGTGTTCGTACCTCTTCATTCGAGAGAATGGTCCTCTGGGGACCTTCTCAGACTGATGAGTCACTTTGGGATTTGGATAATGGCCCGAGACGCGTTTCTGTTCACTGCGCCTTAATGCGATGTGTATCGTCCTTCGAGTATGCAATAATGGATGCCAGAGACTCCTCGGAAGAGTTCATTAGGCCCAGTGCCATGGATGCGAGCGCCTCCGTAATGATTTAATGGGGTGGTTTTCATGGAGTCTATGATTAGAAGCGGCTTGGGTGAACCAACTGGACAAATTTAGAGTTTTGATTTCGAATCCAACTCGTCGAAGACTGCGTTGGACTGTGCTGGGCAGGCAGGACGATTTTCTCGTCGAGTTGTGGCGAAATCGAACGCTTTCGGCGAGTGGTCTCATTCTGAGCGGTAGTTGTTATATCTGGCTTCGGGTAGACTGAGTCTAATCTATGGAAGAGAGTTTTCTATTACCTTTGCTATTTACCCGAGTTGAGGATTGTCGGGAGTTGTTTCCTTGACGACTCAAGGGATCATGTAATGGATCCCTCTAAGGTTTTTCTTTGGTTCATTCATGATCTTAAATGGTCATGACGGAGAGATCCTTCCTCCTCGTACAGCTCTATGGAACAGAGACTGGGAAATGAGCACGTCGAGAGAAATCCTTTGAATGTTCCGAGCGGTCGCGCAAAAAGGAAAGGAATAGGCTCTCGATCAGTATTTTTATTCGGCTATTATATGTGAAAGGTTTTGTCGAGGATCGTACGTGAAGGCGACAAGGTCGTGGAAATTCCAACTCGGAGATTTGCTGACTCCGTCGTAAATGCTGAGTATCAGTTGATATTTTCAAGAGTAGGGCCAAGATGTCGAAGCAGTTATTCTGCAGTGCAGGTGTACTAGCCGTATAGTTAACCCTTTTAGTGCCAGGGGAATGATACATCGTCGTTTTTAGCCTACGAATCGGCTGCGTGGCACTAAAAGGGTTAAACGAGCTGCACAGTGGTCCAGCGATGACGGAAACCTGGCGGTAACGGGTTGGCTCACTCATCTCCGACTTGATGGATTTTTTATGCGCTTTTTTTTTTTATTTCACCCGGTGCAATTTTGGAGCACTACATGATGGAATGGCTTTTTTTTTTCAGGGGAACACGCATTACTTGAAAGGGGGAAAAAGGAGAGATGAGGAAGATATGGGTTGGAATGCGCTTCGTAGGTTCAATTTTAAGCTGATCTCATTTCACCGCGATCTTCTCATTTCACCGCGATCTTCTAGCCTCACCCATTGAAAGAAATTCTCATATTCGCCCTATGGTAAACAGATCTGATGGGTTCTGCGTTTGCGCGTAATACTCAGAGATGACGCTCTGTGGCCTTTTTTTTATTTTTTGTTAAAGCCGGGTCTACTGTAAAACGATGTTATATCCGAATGGGCTAGAGTAGACGGAGTTCTTTAAGTTGCTGATTGAGCGCTACTGATGTAGGCAGACTTGAATGGTTTGCTTGAATCATGCGCGACCTTGGGTGACCTTGGGCGGTTTCTTCGAGTTTATTATGGTTTCTAAGCTTAGTTTATTTTCATTGGAATATTTTTTCTTGTTTTGCTTGAAAATCATTTTTCCCTCAATGCTAGAGATTCGCGGCTGCTACTTTCGTTACGCTTTTGGCCACGTTTTCTTTTGTGCGCTGGAGTACTGTGCGATGATCCCATTCTAGTCTCGAGGCTCTAAAGGGAATGCCGAAGTCGATCGATTTCCGGGTGCAAAGATGAAAACACCACGTTTCGAATGACGGTGGTGTCCTAAAAATGACCTTAAAGGCGTTCCGAAATGGCAACGAATTAAGAATTTTTTTGAGATCGAGAACCGAAGTAAGCAGATGTTCGTTTACTTTTATAGGCAGGATGAGGGGGGACAACTTGGCTTTTCTTCGAACGATTTGGTTGGCCTTTTACTTGAAGGGAAGCAATCGTCGGACCACCGTAGAGAGGGGTCTTTTGTGGGGGGAGAAGCACAATATGGGAAGGGACAGTATGGGGACGCAGCTGCATCAAGACGGTGTCATCTGCGTTCCGCATTAAAGGGGAGCTCCAGCTTTTTATGGCTGAAACGTACGGATTATCTCTCGTATTATCTCTGTCGTCTCCGAGAGAGTCTCGTGCGGGACGGAGAGTGGAATGGGCGCACGTATGACGGAAATGGGAGCCTTTCCTTTTGGATCTCGAGTCTCGAGATGGGTAGGAGGAGGGGGGGAGGGGGACGAGATGGAATCGGTTCCCGTGACTCCCGTGATTCGAATTACCACTACGACAAGGTCATAATAGCCTGGAGGGACAAACCACATCCATCTTTTTCACACGTGTCCATTTCTAATGTCTCTTTCCTTAAATAGTTTTTCCCCCCCCCCCCCCCCCTCCGTTTTTTTTCTTTCTCCTTCCTCCTCGCTCTTTCTTGTAGTCTTTCATTTCCTCTCCATTCCCCGGGTTTGAATGAAAACAATTATTCTAGAGAAACTGTAATGAACTCGGGGAGGGGCAGAGGGGCTAGGGAGGGGCCCTTCAGATTGGATGGGAGGTATCGACGAGCACCTCCTCCAACAATCATTCTCTTGATTGAACCTCGTTTCTCCTGCTTCCCTGTAAAAGGAGAATTGTTTCTGGTGATGTTTCTAGGGCCCTTGATTTTTTTTTTCTCCCCGTCCACCCTTTCCGAACGATTTCCGACAAGAGACGATTTCCCCTGGTTTTGATCGATGGACTCGACTGTCATAAAAGTCAGAATGGATCCATGCAGCGCACGAGTAACGACCGAGTTTTTTTTATGTCGTCAGGTGCCGATGCGGGGGAGGCCGCTGAACGTGGCCGCGGTGGAGCCGTTCAAGGTGAACGCGGAGAAGGAGATCGCGGAGGAGGGGGAGTTCGGCCAGTCGCCCAGCAAGCAGGATCCCAAGTATCAGACGCTGCCGCATAACACGAAGTTCCCGCAGGGGCTGCAGAAGGGAGAGGAGGATGGAGGGAGGAGGGTGACGCCGTTGCCGCCGCCGAAGCCGGGACTTGCTGCCCCGAGGTGAGTTGCCGTTGCCTCTTGCGTCTGGGATGATGGGAGGGGAGGGGTGGTGGATGGGGAATGGGCGTAGAGGGGGGGGGAGGAATGGGAATGGGAGTAGTTATCGAAGCGATTTGTCAGCGGGATCCTTGTCCCGCGGGACTCATTCATCGATTCCTCTCCTCTCCTCTCCCTTTTCTTTTCCTCTTTCTTTTTGACTGCGCCCCGTCTGTTTTTTCTTTCTTTCTTTCAAAGCTCTGAAGAGTGGGATCTGGGGGATATGGGTAACGGGGGCAGGGTGATTGGTTGCAGCGATTGAGAGGGAAAGGGGGGAGGGGGAAAGTCAAGGGGGGGGGGAGGGGCAGAAGGGGGAAAGTCAGGGGGTTCATTAAAGTGAGCGTCATGCTCCCCTTGCTTGAAGCATGGCAATTTTCTTGGGCCACTGCGTTGCCACTGTATCAACCGATAATGTGGCTTGCTTCTCGCCTCGTTATTGGGAAACGCCTTTCAAGAGAAGTGAGAAGAGGTTTTGGGGGGGGCGTTGGGAAGGCACGCTGCTGCTAGCTCCTTCATTCGGGGGAATTCTACCGGTGGTAATATCTCTGCGCATTATGCAGGCGCTCGTGCGTTCGGTTGAGGAAAAAGAAGACTAGCAGGATTGCAGAAGAAATTGAAAGCTGCGTCTCGCTGCTGAGTGTCTGCTTCATTGAAGCGAAAACGGAGGGAATCTTCGAAATACAATCGCGTTCTGAATATCGATCCCCGAGTATTCTCGACCATGTCGTCTCGGATCAGGTTTTGTTTGCAGAAATATATCTCGCGAGAATGGAGTGGTATTAAATTGGTATGTTGTTAGCAGGTTGGAGGGTAGTGCAGGGTCAATGGGGACATGGAAAGGGGGTGGAGGGAAGTGGGAGGGGGGGCAGGGGGACATGGAGAAGGGGTAGTGTGGAGTGTAGTGTGGGGCCAGGTACCTGGAAATGTAAAGAGGCTTTGCAGAAGCGGCAGATGTGTCTTCGTTTTTCCATGCTATTCATGGATTTTTTTTTTGTCATCGTCGAACGACGAAGTCGTGTTGACTGGATGGGGATAACTACGCCTAGAAGCTTTGTTCTTTTTTTTGTTGTTGAGAAGAGGTCAAATATAAGTTAAGTTGTTATGATCAGTGGGCCCTTAGCCTCGATGGCCTCTTTGAAAGGGTTATGCAATCACATTTTGATTATGGTTTTGATGCTTGTGAGCAGGTCATACACGGCAGTCTATCCGAGTGGAGTGAGTCCGGGTCCCGGCCCAGGTCCAGGTCCAGGTCCAGGTCCAGGCCCGGGTCCGGGTCCGGGTCATCCGCAGTTATCCCGGGTTCCACCCACCGGAGGGAGTACCTCTTCTCTTCCCCCTACCTCCTCCTCCTCTTCCTCTTTACCTCTGCCGCCTCAGCTGGTAAGTGCTTGTGGTGATGCCTGCTTTCTTTCGCGCCCGGAGAGAATTTGTCGGAGATGCTTCTCTAGCCGGCGTTCGCCTTTCTGTTCTCGTCTGTTTAGTCTGACCCTGAAAAAGGGCATGAATCTCCTCGTACTGTCGACTCAGAGCTTGCGACCAGAACGGAGAACACGCGTTCTTCTTCTTCCGATTCTGTCCCTCCTGCTCCCCCTCCTCCTCCTAGGGGGAATCTTCTGCCTCCCACTCTTCTCACTGCACCCCAGGTGGGTCGCTCTCTCCTCTCCCGCGCTTTTGCTCTTGCTCTCGTTTCCTTCTTGTGTCCCAACAGATTACGGTATACCTTATGCAAAGAAAAAAAAAGACATTGACAACGGCTGCTTGCGAGGTCCTGTTTCAGTGTTTGCCGGCAACGTCGTGATTCAGTCTCGTGAAAGTAAAATCATGCAGATCTCTCTCTGTTTGCTCAAAGCCTATTTGGTTTTGTGGCAATGATTTCGATGCTTCATTGGAGATAAAAGTTGTTAAAATTCATGCGTAAGACTTGAAATTGAGAGAAAATATAAAGAAAATTACTGAATCATGAACGAAGTTTTTTGTATATAAGTGTACTGATTTCGAGGGTTGGGATCTTTTCGTTTCCTTGACAATCCAGGAGATATTAAGTGTGGGCTCATCTGAAGACATGTCCATGACTCTGAAGCCTCTTCCACCCTCTCCTTTTGACTCGCCCAAGGTGAGCTCTACCGTACTCACGTGTGAGCCACCCCCACCCCATGCACCCCCTGGTACCTTGTTGACGCTTTCCCCCCCTGACAGACGCATTTGACAGACGTGACGTTGCATGACACAGCATGTGCTTTGTGGCTTGAACGACATGGGGTGGGAGTAAATGAGGATGTTTGAATAACTTTCTCATGGTTGACATTGGGAAGGTTTCAAATCAGTTGCTTTTTTTTGTTGGCTTTTGGTTTTTTCTTCGTACTTTATGTACCTTTTAAAGTCCTGATTAATCTCCAAAGTAGCTGCCATTTTTGTACGTTTGGTGTTCAATTCATGCAGTAAGGTTGATTTTGTACTTGTTGGTATTCCCTGTTTTTCAGATTCATGAGATACTCATGGCATGGGGAGTTGCATGCAACCAGTGTGATTGGGTCTATGTAGCATGTTTTGACATTCGATGGATTTTTGAGTTTTCGGGTTACTCACTTCGAATTTCAGAATCTATGTTGCATATGCATAAGGCATGCTTCAAACCATGGATCCATTGAATTTGCCTGGACTGTTTTAGACCCATGAGGATGCATCCCTATTTGATAACACCTGAAAGCAGGAGTGTGGCTGCCATCATTTGTTGCTAGGCTGGCAATAGATCCCACAATGAAAGTTTCCATGAGTCATGTCAGCAGCGAACCAAGCCCTTTCTTTATTCCTGGGTTGTATGGGATACAAAAGTCACATTGTGGAGATGAAGTTTAGCCCAGCTTTGAGATTACAATGTACACTGTTCGCTTGAGGGATTTAAAAATTTAATGTTCTGACCAAGAGATATGGAAGTGAAAAGGATTTAAAATCAGAATAGGCATTGTTCTTAAAGGGTATTTTAAGTTCTTTCAATGGAAAACTATGAAACTGATGTGAGTTTTGATATCTATATGCTGTAGACTATGATGTCCTAATATTCAGTAATTATTTCATCGTTTTTAGATAATGAAGGAATTTCAAGCTATATTTGTGCTGCCCTGAAACCTGTTCCATAGCACTGCAGCTAGTACAACTTTGAAATCCAATCTTTAGCTCATTTTCAGCAGCAATTATGGTACCATTCCTTGAAATGGAAAAAAAAAAAGAGAATTCAGGGCTTCAAATGGGCCTGCATCTGACAGGTGAATTAACTGTAGAGGCGTTTTTTCTCTGTGCATGGTTGAACCACTCTTTGTCAGAAATGTGGAGGACTCATTACCTCTGTGCCTGGAGTAGAATTGTCGAGATTCATCTCCCTCAAAAGTGCCTTTTCTTATGGTTCCCTTAATGCCTGGTCTGGGGAATGCTTAAGGCAAAAGTATGTACAGGCCCTAAGGGTCTGTTCATACTTCTGTTTGAAGTCTGGGTTTAAAGCATGCATTAAAATTAAAGCATTCTATGCTTGAAAATGTATGGAGTTTAAGCTCTCAAGGGCTCAAGTGTGAAGCTTTTCTTCCATACATCTTCAACAATGCATCCTCTCATGCTTGCTGGAAAACACAAGTATGGAGAGCCTCTTTGTTTCTGCTTGAGTGACATCATTTAAGTGGTTCACTCTCAATTTTTCAGAAGCCAGTCCACAGTGTGGCACCCACTCAACAACGGCCTACTCCAATCACCTATCAAACCAGTTCGACCAAGGTCACATTGGCTCAGCCACATACTCTTAGTGCCAATCCCCAAGTGAGTGCTTGTTTCACTGCTGTATGTTGGTACTGATGTACCAAGGAGGTCATTCCCTCTTTGATGCATAAAATGAATGATCTTCCTGATGAATTGCATTTTTTCTCCATCACAGGGCATTTTACATGTGGAAGGCCTGACAGGGACACAAGGAACCTGGCCTCAATCTGAGGTGTCCGGACTACCCCGACCCGCCTTGCCCCCCAAGCCGAAACCCTCGACTCCTCCGAGGCAGCACTCTCCTCATCCCGACGAAGGGAAACATGGAGGCAACTCCTCAACGACTGTTGAAGAGGCTATGTCGGTCCTTCGGTCTTCAAATGCCTCCAAAAATGAGTCACAGTTTAGGTTTGTTTCCATTTTCTGGTTCACAAGTGTTGTTACATAATTTTAATGGAGTTCTTTGGAACCCTTTGGACATATATGCTTTTGGCTGGTTTTTGCAGGTACATGCCATCTGGGCCTCCTCAGAACGTATACAGTCTGGTTTCTCGTCCAGAACAATCTCAAGAACAAGATGACAATCAAAAGTCAAGCAAAGATGTTAATGCTAACATGGAATCTCACCTCAGTAACCCACCAGATGCCTCCAAAGTGATACCCAGTGATGGTGACAATACCAACATCGTCAACAACAATGCAAGCGATGCTAATAATAACACCAACGGGGACCTGATGGGCTTTGCACCAACTGTCCACATCAGCATTAGCCGACGCATCGAGATGCCGCCGGAAAATCTCTTCCCAGAAGATGGAACGCCACCATCAGATCTGATTGATCAGAATGGACTTGATGTGGTGGATAAAGCCCTTCTTGTGACTGACCCCTCTGATTATCTCCTTGCAAATGGCGAAATCACAGTGCGAGACAGAGACCTCAAGTCTGAGGGGTTCCCTGAGGAATATTATATCGATGAGGATGGCAACTTGCAAGTTAGAAATGAAGATGCCAATGATGATGTGGAAGTAATGAATGAGAAGAACCTGAAAGTTCTAGCAGGTAAGGTTTTGATTTTAAATGGAAGTAATTAGCTCAATGCTTTTTCAGAGGTGTGGATAGGCATTGAACTGGGCGTTCTTGTTGCAGAGACTGAGAGCAGTGATTCAGAGGAAGGAGGGGAGAAGAAACATGTCACCAGCATCCTCCAGAGAGGCAGGAGAGGCATTACTGATCAGGGGAAGGGAAAGAAATTATCCAGGAGAGTCAGCTTTGATCCTTTGGCCCTCATGCTTGATGCATCTCTGGAAGGAGAGTTGGAGTTAGTGAAGAAATGCGCACAGGATGTCCCGAATCCAAGTGCAGCCAACGACGAGGGGATCACGGCTCTGCACAATGCAGTCTGTGCTGGTCATTTTGACATAGTCAAGTTCCTGGTTGAATTTGGATGCGATGTCAACGCACAAGACAGTGATGGGTGGTGAGTTGTGCCATTTCTTGATTATGAGGCTTCACCTTAAATTTTTCCAATGAACATATTATTTGGTTGATTTCATTTCTTCTCATTTGATCACTTATAATGGCTGTCTGTCAGTGTTTGAAACATTAAAGGTAGTACATTGGGATATATTTCAATTTTCAGGACACCGCTCCACTGTGCTGCATCTTGCAACAACTTGGCAATGGTCCAGTATCTTGTGGAGCGAGGAGCTTGTGTTTTTGCCACAACACTGTCTGATCAAGAAACAGCCGCTCAGAAGTGCGAAGAAGACGAAGACGGATACGACACGTGCTCGGAATACCTCTACAGTGAGTCGATGCCCTTTGATGATGTACTAGCACTACTGCCTGCAAAGTAAATTTCAACTGTGAACCTGTCCCATTTTAGGTGTCCAAGAGAAACTTGGCATTTGGAACAATGGAGAGGTATATGCACTCTACAACTACGAGGCACACAACTCGGATGAGCTCAGCTTTCAGGAGGGGGATGTCATCATCATTCTCCGCAAAGGAGATGAGGTGGAGCGGGAATGGTGGTGGTCTCGCCTCAGCGATCAAGAAGGATACGTTCCACGTAACCTCCTCGGGGTGAGTACTCCCATTTGCCTTGCTGTTTATCTCATCTTGTCTCATCTCGTCTGAGTGAGGCCACCCGTTGTGCTTAATTATGACATTGGATGTTTTTCCTTTCATTGTTCCACGTCTTACTATGTGGTCACCTGTCTCCTTGCTCTGCACCTGCTAATACAGACCATTGAACTTATGAATTGGAATGCCTCCAGATGTTGTAGAAAGTTAATTTCAGATGAAAATTTTATGAGTAAACAGAGGATCATCCCTCAATGGCATGAAAGATTAAGGTACTGGTATGGATGTATCTGAGAAAGGTGTCTGTCATATGCAATGTTTTTTTTTTCTGAGTTTGTCAGAATGAATAAATCTCACCCTCTTGCACTGTCCTGACTGTGGTGATGGGTTACTCTGTTTGCACTCTGCATGAATTGTGACCATGTTCAAGAACTATTTATGTCCCTCACCCTGCTTGGTATATTTCCAGTGAGTTATTCTGCTTGCCAGTGAGTTTCACTTGTCTTTATAATAGGAACAGTCCCTTTTTCTTGAGGTATCTTCATAGACTTTTTCTCCTTGTCGGAGATCATTACCAATCAGCTTTACTCAACTACTTTTGTAGTTTCGATCAGTTAGGCAGCAGTTCACCTGGTCTCATCTCATCTCTCCACTAGTCCAACCAGTAGTTCTGGTTTTATTAGAAATAGTGCCCTGAGTTCATCCAAATAATTATTTGTTACTTACTATTGTTAATGATATTGTCAAGAAGGTTCTTTGATTTGACATTACCTTATATTGTCTTTACAGCTGTATCCACGGTTGAAACCGATCGAGGAGAAGAGAGAGTCGTCGTCATCACCCGAGGACTGAAGCTCTCTGTCCTCATTCATTCTGTGATGTCACCAAGTCCTTTGTTTTGGAACCGAGAATGCTATTTTTCTCATTCTTGCTTCTTCTCTTCTTTTCTTTCCCATCATTCATGACAGTGCCTTTCCAAGTGCCCCTCTCAAGAACTGCTATTTTTCCACACGCAGTCATCCGTTGCTCGGTTTCAACCGTCGCTCGGTTCGTCTCCCTGATTTGCGTGTCACGACGATTCAGATCCGTCTCGTGTTGAAGCCTCAGTATTACTGGGCAGGCTTCATGCTTCATCTCATTTTCCTGAATTTCATCAGGTGCCATATCAAATTCTCAATGATTCATTTCAGCATGATTAATTTTCATCCCTATGCTTGCTCCATGAGCAGCAAACAGAAATGTTCTGCAGTGAGATGAGAATAAAGACATTGTTGACTCAGTCTCTCAAATATGCTGTTTCACTTGTGATATCATTGCTTTCACTTCAACAAATTTGTGAAAATTTCCATTGCACAGGGTCAGAACCTTCAGTTTCAGTTGACCTTCAGGTGCGTCTATGACAAGCATGAGCCTTGTTTCGATTTTTGCTGTTAGGAGTTACAATGAAAGGTTTCGATCTCTTCTGTAGATTCCTTTTTTTTCCTTTGGGGAAGATTTGGGCTGGGTTGCAGTTGTATTTATTTCTGCTTCGAAAGTCCTTTGTCTGCAAGCCTTCTCATTGTCATGAACGATGTAGGAACGATTGAATATGATATACTAAAAAATTCATTATCAAGCCCGGCTTATCATTATGAATAGGTAATATAAATGATATTATACCTAATGACTGAAAATCTTAGGGTGGATTTTTAAACAGAGAACTATCCGATAATGCTGGTATATTTCAGGGTAAATGCATAATGGGTGACTTGCACCGGATCCGATTAAGTTAAACTAATTGATCACAATGGTCCCGATGGGAATCGGTTTAACAGAGGTAATCTTATTCCCGTAGACTCCCATCATGAAAACAAATCAGTTTAGAGTTAAATGAATCTGGTGCAGGTCACCAAATGTTTCCTGAAAATAAAACTGCATTATCGGATAGTGCACTGTTCAAAATACACCCTACGTCTCAGAAATAAATAAACCAGCCCCCGACTTTCATGATGACAATAAAAATTTGGTTGCTCATTCAAGAGTGCGATATTTCCTATTCAATTTCATAAAGTATTTTGCTTGCTCAGTTTCTTCACAGTACTGAAATTATTCATAATGCAAGGTCACCGATATCGGTGGATCCACAGGCGATAGAGTTTTTAACGTGGAACTTAACCGGGCTTGTATTCGAGCAGCGTGCTACTTGGAAAGAGGCTAAGATGTAGGGACGGAGGCATTACATTCCTCTTCTTGATTGTAAAACATTCCAACCTTGCTTGAAATGTTGAAATCGACGACATGAAGGAAGCATAGCAGGAAGCGAGATGGATGAGGAGAGAGCCAGAAGGTCCCCCTTTGCCAAGTAATTCTACCTTCGGCCTGCCGTTCTTGCATAATTCCCTCATCACCGTGGGTTGGGTTTTTTTACTCTCAAACGCATAAACTGGGGGACCGAGTTTACACGAACCGTGCCTTGCCTTCGAAGCATGAGTTAACGATCTCGTGTTCCGTGCGTTATTCTACCCTTCTACCTTGCCCCAGGTTAATCGTGATTCATTCTGATTTCGAAATCTGCGTCTGTTTCTAAATTTCCATTTTTAATCCCGAGGTTCCTCGGGCAAACTATCGAAAGTTTCTGTAAGGGAGGGTATGAAACGTAGAAACATTCAGGTGAAGTCTTTCCGTATTGTTTGAAAAAAAATCAGATGGGCTTGCCCCCGTGCAGAACATTAGAGACATCTGCTGTAATCCCCAGACCAATCGAATTCAGCTGTTGAGTAATTGAGCGCCTCCGCGGATGGACGCAGCAGAGCGGATGGATGCAGCTGCTGCGTCGCCCGGAGACTCCATGAGTCACCGAGGAATGCGGTGATGCAACGTCGAAAAACGTTGCGGTGGGACGGTGGGCTCGGTCCGTGGCGATCGGGCCGATTTCGACTCGGATTCGTTGGTTGTGTTGAGGTTTGGACGAGGATGTTGGTTGAATTTTTTTTGCATTTTCGTCATTGAATTCGTGAGGTTGAGTTGAGTGATTTTCGGTCCTCAGAATGTTCAACTCATTTCTCAGAATGTTCAACTCATTTCTCAGAGTGTTCAACTCATTTCTCAGAGTGTTCAACTCGTTCTTTACAATGTTCAACTTCTTCCTAAAATGTTCAACTCGTTCCCGAAGCGGAGCTCAAAATCCTCGCGATCGAACAGCAGTGCCTGCTCGAGCTGAGTGTAATGCCGATGATGAAGTCTCTCTCGCTGATGTTCACAGATGCTTTTAGTAGTTTGCTGTCTTTCGTGGCAACTTCGGAGAATGATTGAATAGCTTTTCAAAATTTTGTCTCGAAGTTTTAATAGGAAAAAAGGCTCTGGAATTTAGGTACGGAGAAGCATCCTGCGAAAAAGCCCACGGGTGGCTGACCCGAGGTCTCGGAAGCGGTTTATTCCTCGGTAACTTTTCCGACGTTCGTACTTAACCGGAGGCAGAAGCCAAAATTGCGTCTCCTTGGGCGAGGCTCCGTGTCGTTCGTTTTGCAGGTGGATTCCGCGGAGGAGCAGTGAAAATGCAGTCGTATACAAATATTTGAGCTTTTTATATTAAAAGGTGTGGATCGGTGATATATTACATCACGCGACGGAGAGCGATGATATCAATATACCGCACGACTGAGGACACGGGGACGAAGGGGGAATAATTAATAACCGGTGACGTGGACCTCTGGGGAGAGAGAGAGGGAGAGGGAGGATGCACCTGGGACGACACACACGCGGGTACACTGGGACTAGGACACACGGGGGTAACTAGGGGGGATGGAGGATTTAGGCGCGGTAGGCTGGCTGCTCGTATCGGGGCTGCTCGTAGGCTCGCTGGTAGCCTCCTTGCTGGTAGGTCACGTCGGCGTACAGGCCGTTGCCGTCGTCCCTGGCGAGGGAATGGAGGTTTTCATCCGTTCCGGAGGGATTTTTTAAGGGGGAAGGCGGGAGGGTTACCTGTAGGTGACGGTCTGGACGCGGCCGTCGGGGAGCAGAACGTTGTAGGATCCTTGGGTGTTGTATCCGTCGCGGCCTTCGTTGTGGCCGTAGCTGTTTCCGGAGTAGTCGTCCTTCACGGCGTAGTTGAAGTCGTACTTGGGGGGGGCATCGGGCTGTAAGAGGAACGGGCGAGGGTGAAGCGATTCGTTCGTTTGCGCATTCGATGGGCGAATACGTGGAATGCTCTTACGTATGCCTCGGGCTTGCCGTAGGCCTGTTGGTTGTAGGATGGCCTCACGTCGGCGACGGCGAGGGCCAGAGTGGCAGCGAGAACGATGACCTGAGAAAAGAAAATTGGGGTTCGCTTGAACGTTGCGAAAAGTTTTCTTCTGGTTTCCGTTCGCGGCGCTGCGAAACCCTAGCCCCCTCCCTTCGGTTGAACCGTTCGACGATGCAGCAAAATAGCCTTATTTATGAATATAGCATTCGATTCGATATTTTACGAGCTAAATCTCAATGACGTAGGTGCACGTCTTGAAGCCGACCCGAGCGACTCGGGGTCGGCCGATGACGACCGCGTTGTCGGTCTTCGCATCGTCGTAGCATCGACGCCATCGCAATGTTTAATGCAGACCGAGTCGAGATTTCACACGGCGATGGCCGTTATCCGCGTGCACGGTCGACGTAAAACCACGAGTTCTACGCAATGACCAACTTGAACCCTTCACTCGCTCGAGTATTTTATGGTTCAACTACGAAATTACGAGTCGAAGAAATTGGAAGTGCCCACACGATGAACGAAAAAACGTGCGTGCAATCTCGTACATATATTTTTTACCCGGTAAGAAAGAAACGAAACACGTAAAACTTCCGGCCCGAATTATCTCGAAAATTCACACGGTACGATCGCTTTCCTCGAAGAGAAAAATCCCTCGTGCACGGTTTTCCTCCCCGTCGAGAACCGTGCAGCGTTTTCGAATCGGATCCGATGGAGAGCATTCGCCGAAACTCACCTTGATGGACATGGTTGAGTCGGAGTGTTGCCTCGGATGAGGGAAGGAACAGGCGGATGGCGATGGACTGCGATGGGGTGAAGGCGGAGTCCGGCCCTTTTATAGGCCAACGGTCAGTTACATCA